CCAAGTTTTCAGGCGTCTTCCGATCACCCGCCTTTCAGTCCTCGGCCAGCACAAAGTGTGGAACATCCAATTGCTACAAAGGACTCGTCTCTGTTTGCCTGGGTTCGTCGCTTCGTACAAGATAGCCCTGTTGTTGCCAAAGAGAAGTTTGAGCACATGCTTAGTCTTGGTTTCATTCGTCCTTCTTCCAGCACCTTGGCTCCACCGCTCCACATAGTGCCTAAAAAGACTGGTGATTGGCGTCCTATGCGGTGATTACCGGGCTCTAAACAAGGCCATGGTCTCGTATCAGTACTCATTTCTCCCTGAATAGGATGCAGAATGTTTGAAACAATTATCTTCGTGAAAGTCTATCACCAGATTCCCGTCAAACCCGCTGTCATTTCGAAGACCCTATATAACACCCTTGGGCGCGTGTTCAAATATCCATGCATGCCATTTACTTTTCGAGGCACACCGAAACATCTTTCAACGTTTTATCGACCAGGCCTTACATGGCTTGACCTGCTCCTTCTTTTATCTCGACGATATCATCGTCTACTACTGAAGCTCAGAAACTGAATCTATGTTAAGTACTCTATACTGATAAATTTGGCCTCATTGTCCATGGCACTAAGTGTTCGCTGTCCCGCAGCTAGAATTTCTCGGCCATCAGTCACTATCGACTCACAGAGCTGCCATTCTTAAGCTTCCTCGGCAACCAGACAGCCGCGTGCATTTTTTTGTCTTAGTAATATTTAAAATAGCTTCATTCCTCAGTGCACCTATATATGGCAGTCTCTGAGGCAGTCTCTTTTGGAGCCCATGTTCTCACGGGCCTCATCATTCGCTGATGTCCACTTCAATAACCACCAGCACTTCACACGCAGCTCAATAAAACAGGAAGCTTGTCTTCATCACTGACTATACGAGCGCATTCGCCACGTCACTCAAAAAGCCAACACCGTTGCTAATGCACTTTCTCGCAGCGCTACCTGCGCAACACAACACGTCCGAACGAGCATAGAATTCACAGCTATGGCTGCCACCCAGACGAGTGACAGCGAGCCTTAGCTGCTATAAAAGCATGGTATATCTCTTGTTTCGACTGATATTTTCGTGCCTGTCTGTCACGTGCCCCTCACATGTGACGCGTCGACAGGTGTCCTTGAATTCAAGTACCTCTACACTTCCGTCGGGCAGTATTTGATGCCCTGCATAGGCTCACCCTGACATTTGCGGCAAACAGCAACTTCTCGTTATGTGCCATAGGGCCGAGTATTAACGTAGATGTTAGTCATTGGTCATGCGCGTGCTTCGGGTACTGACAGTTTAAAGTGCATTGCCACACCATGCTTCTTTCTTGGCATGTTCCCGGCCACGGACGCCCACTTCAGCAACCTGCACGTCGACACTGTCGGTCCCAATCCTCCATGCGAAAATTTATTGCTACTTGTTAACTTGCATTGACAGGTTCACAAGATGGCCTGAAGCGGTGTCTTTTAAAAACATACTGTGTAGTCGACAGCTCGAGCACCTGTCACTTTGTGGGTTAGGCGCTATGGTGTCCTTTCCACCAATTAAACTGATCATGGTTGGTAATTCACCTCCTCATTGTTTGCCAATGTATATCGACTCCTCGGTGACAATCACATCAAGGCTCCCTCTTATCACCCCATCGCCAACGGAATCATCAAACGTTTGCGTCGCCAACTGAAGGCGCTACTCTTGGCTTCCCCTTTTTTTATCGTGGACCGAACGCCAAGTTTTCATTATGCTTGGCATCCACATGCCTCTTCGCAGTGACTCCTCTGTAAGCGCCACCGAGCGGATATTTGGTAATACTCTTCGAGTTTCTGGTGAATTGATTGACTCCTGTACGGTATACCTGCAGACTATTTCGACAACACATACAATTTACCAAATGCTTCATCACAGACAATGACGAACATCCCGTAATGTGCATGTCATTCCTGACCTGCAACACTGTACACACGTTTTTGTGTGACATAATGCCATTTGGACTTCCTTGCAGCCCCCGCATTATGGCCCGTTTAAAGTCATCAAGCACACAGCTAAACTCTTCCGCCTGCTCATCAATGACCCTGAAGATACGGTTTCCGTTGAGCGTCTGAAACGTGCCTATTTGGACACCGACACATCAGCGTCTCATACTGTCGCTTCGGACTGCCACATTCGCCGCGTGAATTTAGCTGCTCAACAGTTTGCTTCTGGCTTCTTGTAGCACAATCAAGAATTCTTAGCTAGAAGGGGGCCCTGCAGAGTGCCAGTGCGGGCCAGAAGAATCCCACCTGTAGACGATGATGACGGCGCATCAAGCATGACATTGTCGTGCCTGTTTTTTCGCGGAATATTAAATGGCTTCCGATGAATACATCATTTGTGGCTTCACAGCATCGACGCCTGTCTGCCTGCTTCTATCCCGCTCAAAGCATAGCAATGCTTAGCATGTTATCTCAAGGCTTCAGCAAAAGCTTAGCAAAATCTCGAAAGACCAGAACTGGCAAGGTGGCGATCAGCTCCACTAGGTCTTTTGCTTTACGCCCAGCTCGTCTGAATCAAATAGAATGCCTTGTTTCTTACATGAACCTATCAGCAAGCAATCAAGGAAATAAAACTAAAAGGTGCGCTGCACACCCCCTTGCATACGATAAGCTGATGAACATGGTTCATCTGAAGTGCGATGTTATATGGGTTAACGGTCCTTAAGGAAGGCTAGTCTAGTAGACTACATGCCCATCTGAGCATGTTTCCTGGGCAATGCGCTTACGTTCACCCTGTCTACAATAAGTGGCAACCTTTCCATAATTATAATAAGTCAGAATCAAACGAATGACACTGACACACGAAACGATCACCTCTAAAATACGCTCGTCACGGACGCCCTGCGAAATTCCTCCGAGTTAGTCATCGACCAGCTTAAGGGAAAGAGCTTTTTCTCATCCAAATCAACTGCCGAAAGAACTTCCAGAATCCGTTAAATACGAGCAGATTGGGGATTTCTCGTATGCTTCAAGCCCTTCTCTCCTTTCCTACCAGCGAGTCCGCTGAAAGCTACGCAGAGATGTGCGGTGTAAAGCAGGGGAAAGAAGATGCACCCCTTCTTCAGAGAAGCTCGAGCACTTTCTTCCATTCTTTTTTTCGAAAGCGCAGCATACTGCAAATTAATCGCGAGGGTGCGTGAACACGTGGCAGTATCCAAAGGCAGCCGCGATTTGAACCTACGATGTTCAAATCAGCAAGTGGTCGTGAAATCTCGGTACGCAGCATCCGTAATTTTGGTAATTGTCATGAATTTCTCGAGAAAAGGTGAGTGATGTTTGCAGACTGAGAAGAAATTTTTAATATTCAGCGTTTTCCGGCCATGCTCGCAAAGTGCGTGGAGTGGTGCACTGCCCCTTTAACTCTTTCATGAGCGCAACTTCATTTTTTCAAGAAAAGAGTTTTATTTAAAAACCAGTGAACTCATTAGAATGCAAGCTTGAGCGAGTCGGTATGCGTTCATCTTGGTTGAACAGCGCTCACGAAACGACGACGAAGTAAAAGCCTGTCTGTGTTTTTTACTTCGTTGTCGTTTTGTGTGCGCTGTTCAAACAAGATGGTGAATTCACTTGCAGAAAATGACATTCACAAGAAACAAAAAATGGAAATGTTAGTTCAAAAGATATGAGGTGGTCGTGTCCACTGTGTAGGAAGGGTGTACTGGTCACTTTCGGTGAAAGGACGCACAACAGTGCTCATTTCCCCACAGGAGCAAATAGGCATTGTTAGTTGCGCACATTCATCTCATTTTTGAGGGCACTTGTACAAATCTCGCAAAACAGCTTTCATTAGAACAATAGAATGTACTACATCATCACCCTCCTTTGTGCATGCTGGTCACCCCAGGTAATCGACTTCAGCGTCGTGGTGCTAACTATAGTGGTCGAGTACAGCTTTTCATTTCTAGATTCTTTAGTATTCGAAACTTGGGTGAAATCATGACTGACTCTATCAAGGTAATATTAGCAAAACATAAGTCATACACTCGCTATGGGCGCTTCATTCGTTTTGGCCGACTAAAGGCGATCTGCTGGACAACAAAATACGTCAATATAAGGAATCGCACAATTTAGGGAAGTGGCAACATCAACAATATGCATTGCGGGGTTCTGGTGGCGGCTGGCAGCAACACCTTAGAGAGGATACTGTGGCACAAAATAACACATCTGTACTCGTCTATGCCTCAGCCACGACGATGAAGCTAATGATAATTATTATGATAACATTTTGCTGATGGTGCTCGTGTGTCAGCAGCCACTTAGTGCGAGCTGCAAGCATGCCATCGTTCATCGCTCTCTTCTTTTTTGGTGGGCGCGCCCACAGCCACCGCTTTCATAATACGTATTCCCGGCCTACAGAGACCCTTCATGCACGGTGGTCACCTAAGGTGACCAACAACTTCGTTGCACATGGCACTCCGTTCTGACCGAGTAGAGCTAATTTCTACATTCCTTCGCGTTACCTACTCATACAATATGCTCTCCTACACTATCAACGTGATGAGGACCGCATATACTTTTATATCTAAACAATTTATCGGGACCACCATCTGGCGCGCCTTGAGGACGATAGCAGCCGGAAGAAAGCAATCGCAACACGTCACACTGAAGCCCAAATGGAGTAGCGTCAGCTTTGTCAAATTGTTAAAAGCTTAGAAAAATGGGCCATTGAAAATCCGACACGCTGGACTCACGTGTAAGAGGAGGAAAAAATGAAGAAAATGGGCTTACCTGGGGTGACCACCAACCTGAAAAGAGTTGAGAAGGAACGGCGCAGGAGACTATGGGCCCATTTGAGTGTATTTGCAGTGCTTGCTCGAATACCCTCACCCTGTTTGCAACTCGGTTGAGTCATATGACGCGAATGAACGTAAGGGCCGCTGCTCATGAGTGCTAGCTACAGATTTAGTTGACTCTACCTTCAGTAGTTTCCGTGCACTTCGCGACTCATCGACTCACCAGTGGCATCCGCGAGCGACCGTACGTAGAGCGGATTCTTCGCCAGGCCTCCACACGTCAATATGCCCGACAGCAAGTGTCCCGCGTCTGTCAGGGCGTCAATGATGTGGCGAGACCCATACTGTGAGAACGTAAGAAATACGTGCATTTATGGCATACTAGCGCTGCGATTGAAAGGAACAATAGGGACACTCTCCTACGTAAGAAAAGCGAACGCGCAAATAATCTTCTAAAAAATGTGCAATGTGGGTGTGCAGAGATGAACAACTGCAAAAACAAAAAAGCTATATATATATATATATATATATATATTTATTTATTTATTTATTTACAATACTGCCACTCTCATCCGAGAGCATAGCAGGAGGGCATACAAATGTGTGTACAAGAAACATGTGAATCTGCAGGCTTGATTCATGAGGAAGAACAAAAAAGAACATATGCACACAAATACAGAATAATTGCACAACTTTACGCATAAACACGCCTATACTACAAGCTGTAGTAACAAGAAGAAGAAATAAACCAAAGAAAAAAGTCCATCAAAAAGGTAAGAATAGTTCCAATACAAGGCTGCAGCAACGAAATACACAAGAAATCAACAGATTTGTAAGCTGGAAATGCTACACGTGTGCTGTTCGGTTAGCGCAACAATAAGTGTTATTTCTACACTCAATAATCTAGCATTTCGACGAACTTAGATAACGAGTCAGTGCTTGTTATCACGGGGTCCAGTTTATTCCAATCGCGTATTGCCATGGGAAAGAAAGAGTACATAAACGTGTCGTCACTGCAGGAATATTCGGTTATGGTGCGGTCGTGTTTGTGACGTGTAGGGCGGGTCTGAGAAAAAGATTTGTATTTATGCGTATCAATCTTGTAACTGTTATGAATTAGCTGGAACAAGAATTTCAGGCGAGCGTGCCTCGCTCTAACTGACAAACTTTTTATTCCTGAATTAGCCAAGAGGTTAGTGGGAGAGTCAGTCCGTTTATATTTATTGTAGATAAACCTTATAGCCTTTCGTTGGACACTTTCAATCTTTTTCATGAGGGTAGTCGAGTGCGGAAACCATATATATATATATATATATATATATATATATATATATATATATATATATATATATATAGGCAGTCATGGTGGTTGAATGGCCGTAGCGTTGCAAGTAGTCACGTAGATCCTCCGTGAGGGGTCACAACGTCGTTTATTTTGATGTTTTGGCCTAGAGTCTGGCCATCAGGATGAATTCTGATGAAGGCCAGACTCTAGGCCGAAATGTCAAAATGCACCACGTTGTGACCGCTCATGGAGAATATACTTGACTGCTATATATATATAAATTGTGAAGAAGAAAACGCATCATTAGCAAGCAACATCGCCTCCGCTTGGGTACTTGGTCCTGCGCTTCGCTCGCTCGGCTCGTGCTGATCATCGCCGGCATCTGCTTGACCGTTGCTCTTTCCCGATCGTGTTTCATCGTAGGACCACCGTCGCAACAGTCGCCAATAAACCCTTTTCAATTGGTGGAGGTGCTGACATTCCCCGTCGCCTGAACCTGGGTGCTGCCATTCGCCGTCGCCTAAACCTGGAGCTGCGCAACCGAACGCTACCTCCCATCATGGCTACCAACAACGCGCAACCTGGCTCTTCCACTCCATCCCCCAGCAACCCCGGCGTTCGTCGTTTGCGAGAGCCCAAGGTCTTTAGCGGAGCTGATGAGACCGACGTGGAAGACTGGTTCGCTAACTACGAACTGGTGATCGCAAACAAGTGGGATGACGCGGACAAATTGACTAACGTCATCTTTTAACTCACTGACGTGGCCGAAATGTGGTATAACAACCACAAAAACGACATTACGACGTGGTCCATCTTTAAAACGTTGTTTGCTGACGTTTTTGGCCGACCCGCTGTCCGCAAGTGCAGAGCCGAACAACGCTTGCGGACTCGCGCACAAACGGAATCCAACGGAGCCAACGGAATCTTTCACCAGCTACATCGAAGACATTATTGGTCTTTGCAACCGTGTGAACACCACCATGCCCGAGTCGGAGAACATTCAACACATTCTCAAAGGGATAAATGACGGTGCATATCAGCTGCTCCTGGCCCGTAATCCTGCCACCGTTGCGGAACTTGTCACTTTGTGTGAAAGTTTCGACGAGTTGAGCAAGCAGCGCGCCCTGACTCGGCCATTTTCCTCACACGCCGACTCGCTCTCCAGTCTCACTTCCTTTTCCGACCACTCACCAACCCTGCAAGAGATTAAAGACTTCGTGCGTGAAGAAGTAGCTCGGCAACTGTCGTTGATTCCCTTCACGCAGCAGGCACCGTCCTCTCGTCTGCCCTCACCACTCCGCGACGTTGTTGCCGAAGAAGTCGCTCAGGCTGTTCCCGTCGCTGCCCACAAGCAGCCTGTGGCCATGCCTGTTGCCCATGTGCCGGCTATGCAGCCCGTGGCCGCGCCTCTTACGTATGCCCAGGTGGTAAGCAGCAGACCCCGCCAGCAGCATTTGCCACCCATGTCTTCAGTTGCTCCCCACTCCGCCCCTTTTTCGACACCTTGGGCCGCACCACGAGTCAGCAATTCCTGGCGCACTCCTGGCAATCGACCGATCTGCTACGCCTGCGGTACTCCAGGACACGTGGCACAATATTGTCGCCGTCGCTTCCAACCACTCCACGACGCTACTCGGCCATTACCATATGACCCACAGCCCATGCACATACCTGCTCCCTATCCCTCACCGCAGTATGGATACACTAACCTTCCTGAGTCTCGGTCACCCCAGCCCTCACCTCAGACTCACTCTCCCCGCTCCCCATCTCCTCGCAGGCGATCACTGTCCCCAATGCGTCCTAGACCCGCTTTCTCCAACCGGGAAAACTGAACGCCGCAGTTCCAGAGGCAAGAACTGCGCCGTCGTCGAAATGCTCAAGTCCTCGCACTTCCCCAGCTAACGTCGTCACCATATCTGTCGATGGTGTTTCTACTTTTGCCCTCGTCGACACAGGTGCTGCCGTTTCTGTTATAGCCGCCCAGCTCTGCTGCTCCCTACGCAAAGTGACCACGCCGCTCTCTGGGCTATCGCTACGTACAGCTAGCGCACAACCAGTTCGACCTCTCGGCACCTGTACGGCCCGCATATTCATCCAAGGCTCTATATACGTTGTCGAGTTCATGATCTTTTCGGTGTGCTCGCATGACGTTATCCTCGGGTGGGACTTTCTGTCAAATAATCATGCCATCATCGACTGTGCACGCGCTGAAGTTCAATTTTCGCACCTGTGTGACGAACCTTTGCACGAAACCCTTGAGCGGTCGCCAAAACTTGTCGTGCGTGAGGACACTAAAATTCCGCCAGCCTCTCTTGCCGTTGTCCCGGTTTGCTTCGATGACTATAACGATGCTACGGTAATGTTTACACCTTCCGACATTTTCATGAGCCGCAGAGCCGTTTCTTTGCCTTTCGCTAGACTTGACGTCACTGCTGGCCGAAGCAATATTTTCGTCCACAACCCCCTTTCTGCACCACTTACGCTACTTGCCGGCGAATGTCTTGGTCGAGTGGATTACCTTGATTCTTCTTTATTCCTTAACATGCCAGACGAATTGTGCAGTAGCGCCTCTGCCGAACTTCATGCCCTTTCCCCACTGGAATGCTCGTCGAGTGACACCTTCTCGAGTTCCATCGCCGACACCTTAACTCTTCAAGAACGCGCCGAGCTTCTTAATCTCCTCCAGCACTTCGCGAATTATTCGACGTGTCTCAGCCGCAATTGGGTCGTACTTCGGCAGTGCACCACTAGATTGACACCGGTTCACACCAGCCATTGCGTCAAAGACCGTACCGTGTCTCTGCTGCAGAACGTCACGTCATCAACGACCAGGTCGAAGAGATGCTACGTCGTCGCGTTATTCAACCATCGCACAGTCCTTGGGCATCTCCTGTCGTTCTAGTTCGAAACAAGGATGGATCGATTCGATTTTGCGTGGACTACCGACGATTAAACAAGGTGACGCGGAAAGACGTCTATCCATTAGCGCGCATTGACGACGCCCTTGACAGCCTCCAAGGAGCCGAATTCTTCTCCTCCTTAGACTTACGATCTGGATACTGGCAGGTCCCTATGGCAGAAGCTGATCACCAGAAAACTGCCTTCATTACACCAGATGGCCTGCATGAATTTAACGTAATGCCATTTGGGCTTTGTAATGCACCTGCCACGTTTGAACGACTCATGGACAACGCACTGCGTGGACTAAAGTGGTCTGTGTGTCTATGCTACCTCGACGACATTGTCGTTTTCTCTCCCGATTTTCCTACACATCTGCTTCGGCTCCAACTGGTTCTGACGTGTTTACCCGACGCTGGGCTCCAACTGAACCTCAAAAAGTGCCACTTCGCTGCGCGAGCTGTCCACCTTAGGGCACGTCGTGTCCAAGCATGGTGTTCTACCCGACCCTGCAAAACTGCGAGCAGTCACCGAGTTCCCGAAACCTACTACACTGAAAGAATTACGCAGTTTCATCGGACTATGCTCGTACTTCCGGCACTTCGTTCGAAATTTTGCGTCGATCATGTCACCACTGACCAACCTCCTACGCGGTGACGCAGAGCTTTCATCCTGATCTGACTGCGACGTCGCGTTCGCCACGCTCCGTAGTCTGCTAACATCTCCTCCCATTCTGCGGCATTGCGGCCCAACAGCTGCAACGGAAGTTCACACAGACGCTAACGGGGTTGGTCTTGGCACTGTCCTCGCCCAGCGCAAGCCGGGCTACTCCGAATACGTCGTCGCTTATGCGAGTCGCACGCTCACTAAAGCTGAGGCCAATTACAGCGTCACTGAAAAAGAGTGCTTAGCGCTAGTGTGGGCGCTTCGCAAGTTCCGCCCTTATTTGTACGGTCGCCCATTCGACCTGGCAACGGACCACCATGCACTTTGTTGGCTCGCCACATTGAAAGATCCTTCTGGCCGCCAAGCTCGGTGGGCACTGAAAATCCAGGAGTACGACATTCGCGTGATCTATCGCAGCGGACGCAAGCATTCTGACGCCGACGCCCTGTCCCGTTCGCCTTTACCTCCCGACTCCACCTGCGGAACCACTGGTACCAACTCCGTCGCATCTCTCGACCTCGACTCGTTTGCCAGTGAACAACACAAGGACCCATGGATCGCTTCCCTTTTTGACTGTCTCTCTGGATCGTCAACCACTGCGGTATCACGATCTCTCCGACGTCAAGCTGCTCATTTCACCATTCGTGATCGGCTGATACAACGACGCAACTACGCCCCTGAAGGTCGTAAGTGGCTCTTGGTTGTCCTCCGCAGCTTGCGATCACAAATACGCACCACTTTTCACGACGATCTCCAATGTGGCCATGCTGGAGTTTTCAAAACTTACGAACGCATTCGCCGTCGCTTCTACTGGCGCGGAATGTATAATTTTGTTCGAAAATTCGTTATGGGCTGCCCTGACTGTCAACGCCGCAAATCACTGCCTTTTCACTCGTCCGGTGCACTTCAACCGCTTCCGTGCCCTGCCAAACCTTTCGATCGAGTCGGAATTGATCTCTATGGCCCTCTACCGAACATCAGATGAAAATCGGTGGATCATAGTCGCTGTGGATTATTTAACACGCTACGCTGAGACCGCCGCCCTTCCAAGTGCCACTGCACGGGACGTAGCGTCCTTTGTCCTCCATCGATTGATACTACGACATGGTGCTCCTCGAGAACTACTAAGTGACCGAGGACGAGCCTTCCTACCAGAAGTCGTCACGGCTTTGCTTTCTGAATGCCATGTTGTTCATCGCAAGACCACGGCATACCATCCACAGACTAACGGGCTCACGGAGAGATTTAACCGCACACTCGGCGATATGCTGGCGATTTATGTGACATCTGATCATACTAACTGGGATCGCATTCTTCCATTCATCACGTTTGCATACAACACCGCGGCACAGTCCACCACTGGATTTTCACCTTTCTTTCTTCTTTATTGACGCGAACCATCCCACACCATCGTCACCCTCCTTCCATACCGTCCTGACGCATCCGAATGCCCATCTGTGTCCGAAGCTGCCCGAAAAGCGGAAGAGTGCCGTGAACTCGCACGCACTTTTACGTCACAAGAAAAGCAGCGCCAGAAAGAAAACAACGCCGGCTCTTCACGAAGCCACAGCTATTCCTCGGGATCATTTGTATGGCTGGCTGTTCCTTACCGAACCCCCGGCCTTTCCTTAAAACTAGTCCCGAAGTACGAGGGTCCTTACCGCGTTTTCGAGCAAACCTTACCGGTGAATTTTCTCATTGAGCCACTTTCCCCATCTGTCGACATGCGCCGGCGTGGACGTGACATCGTCCACGTCGCCCGCCTTAAGCCATAATATAGCCCTCTGCCTCCAGACTCCTAGGTCACCAGGTTGGCTCTTTTTCGGCGGGGGAAAATTGTGAAGAAGAAAACGCATCGTTGGCAAGCAACATCGCCTCCGCTTGGGTACTGGGTCCTGCGCTTCGCTCGCTCGGCTCGTGCTGATCATCGCCGGCATCTGCTTGACCGTTGCTCTTTCCCGATCGTGTTTCGTCGTAGGACCACCGTCGCAACAGTCGCCAAACAATAAACCCTTTCTCTCTCTCTCTCTCTCTCTCTCTCTCTCTCTCTCTCTCTCTATATATATATATATATATATATATATATATATATATATATATATATATATATATATATATATATATATATATATACATATATCAGTGCATAGCGTGCCTCGTGCTTCAGTCAGCAAACTCACAGCTAGTGCTTGAAGCGTTGCAAGATACAGCCGTGCTAAGTCCTCCTCGTCAGACGTCAGCGTCAGCCCAGAAACCTGCATAAAAGAAATAAAAGAATAGCGGTATGCTTTTGGCTTCATTTGGAAGTTGGAAACGAGGCATTTGTCTATTTCTCCCTCTCCGTTCATTCACCTAATGTGATTTAGTTGTTCGGGGTGGCACATCACGCCTACACGTAATGTCGTATGCATGACAAGTCAGCTATTTCCGTGACATTCTGTCATGCGCATAGAACTACTGGCCACGTCTATACATTTCACAAAATCTACACGTATGCTAGAACAATACTTAAGAAGTGCAAGTAGCCACTCCTACGAAAAGCCATTTGTAAACAGTCGATAACAAATCAATCAATAAATAAATTTATTAAGCTTCTTGGATACAATATAACAGAGCGAAGTATTACATTCGGAGGTCCCATAGTTTCATGAACTGGACGGGGCTCCTCCTAATACTGGAACATTTATAGAATAAATGTCGAGGGCTATACGAGAAAAAAATACGTTTATAAAATTGCGGGAAAGGTGAAGGAGCTGCATAGGAAAAATTGGAGCAAGAGATGAACGAAAAAGAAAAAAAGCAACAAAAGCAGGCATGGTATATGCTAATACGCGAACACGCATCAAGATTCCACATAAGAGAACGCAGATACGGGGATATTGACACATGAGGAGAAAGCAAAGCCTACCTTTCTTTGTGATCAATCTGTACAAGCTAGTCCGACATTACTTTCCTATTTTCTAACCATCAAGTTTATTCTAAAGCATGTGCAGTGAAATGTAGACATCATCTGGCGGAACGTTAGAAAGTGCAGTAAAAAATTGCGGAAAAACTGCACGAAGTCACGCAGAGCTTGGCACAAAGAGGCTGCTTGCTCATTGAGCTGCAGGTCGAGAACTAAGTACATGGCTTTGGTAGCTGTCCCGGGGAGCACGCAGAAGTGTCTTTAACGTGATAGCGTTAAAAAGCTTTCGCACAAATGTCGTCGAAGCTTCGTTGTGAGCGCGAAATGATCATGTTGTGCGTTATCCGAATATTTTAGAAAGATGCAAATAAAATAAATAACAAAAATTCAGGGTCTGAGTGGAGAATGAACCCAGATCGTAAGCGTGGCAAGCGCGTTTTATACTACAAAGTCACGCGTCTGCTTGTTAATACAGCGAAAATAACTTCCTCTGCTTGGAAATGCAGTGAAAGTAACTCATACTTTACAAACACACGCGTCATGTATGCATGCTTCGCAATACAACAAAAAAATATTGCGTTATAATGTTAATATAGGCGTACATTGCCATGAGGCGTCGGAAAATGTGCATATCATATTGTTTTTAAGGTTTAAAGCGGTTAATCACTACAGAAGGCACACACCTTACTGCGCCTATTGCTTTATGGTCATGTATTGGGTGCATAGCTAGCTCGAAAGCATTTTATGCACCAAGTGCTTGAAGTATACGCAGAAGGAACAGTGTATCGCTATCGTGTTATAGCTTTAAAGGCGAAGCTCATGAATCCCCCTATTTTAAGAGCAGGCGTCGAGCAGCCAGAAATACTATTTGGAACAGGCTCGGAGCAGCGAGAAGGGCTTTTACGAGAAATCTTAGAGTAGTCACTACGTTCAGGGCAGATGTAGCGGCGTGTTTCAAACTGCGTGTCGGAAGCTATGCGCTAAATTATACAATAACCGTATTATTGCGATAGCAATTACATGATTACTTCAAACGGGCTTTTGCTTTGCCGTCGCCGTTACGTTCCGTATAAGAGCAAATGGCTAGGAGACCTCCGCGCATCTTAGGTTCTACCCGCGGGTAAGAGCGTGAGTGGGGGTAGCGAGCACACCTGAAGAAGAGATAGGATGAACAGGCACATCACACTCGCTCAGAGGGTGAATGCGTTAACGTCACGCCGCTTGGGAAGCGTACCTTAGAAGCAGAGAGGAAACTCCCCGCACTTCTTCAAAGAGCGTGAGAAGAGAAAGGGGGGTCGCTCGAGCAACAACTGCAAACTTTGCTTCTAAATGCACGTTGGCGTGATCGCTGGCGTGCGCACTAGCTCGGCAGCCGTCAGCGGATGGCTTCTATGCACTTCGATAATCCCCACACTTATCACGAAGAGAACGGGCCAATGACGTCAGACTCTGGAGGATGGATAGATGGATGGATGGATGTGGCTGTACCTTTTAGATCGGGCGGCGGCTAACGCCACCTAGCCGTAATACTTAGTGAACTAACCACTAGATCTATCTTTTTTTTCTTCCTTAAAAAGTGAGTTTGAGTATTCGTACTTTGCAGTGAAGAGTTTAATTTTCACTCGTGCCTTGACTTTAGCCACCAATCAGATAACCTCCTTCTAGTTAGGTCTACCCGCTTAAAGTTTATTTTGCCCTCTCGGTCCCTAAACCCCAGTGCTTTGAAAAACTCTGCGCCATCATCTTGAACTAAAGGGTGAAGCCCTTTACAGAACATTATCAAGTGTTCGGCAGTTCCTTCTTCCTCTCCACACGCACTGCATACTGTGTCTACCCTTTCATATTTGGCCCGATATGTCTTGGTTCGCAGTACTCCCGTCCTGGCCTCAAACAGTAGAGAACTACCCCGAGTATTATCATAGATCCTTTCCTTGGCAATTTCCTGCTTGAAAGTTCGATAGATCTCTAGTGCGGACTTCTTAATCATGCCCATTCTCCACATGTCAGTCTCCGTTCCCTTCACTTTCTTCTTAACCGATAGTTCTTTTTGGTTTCGCCACCAGCTGTTTTCTAAGTATTTACCAGTAAACTTCCTGGTTTGCTTCCTCCATTTTGTATCGACATTCTTCATGTACAAGTAGCTGAAAACCTTCCTAGCCCAACGCTCCTCCCCCATTTCTCTCAATCGCTTCTCAAATTTTATCTTGCTGCTAGCTTCCCTGTCCTCAAATGATGTCCATCCCATGTCACCTTGTACTCCCTGATTTGGTGTATTCCCGTGAGCTCCTAAAGCAAGCCTACCTATTCCACGTTGCATAATTTCTAATCTTGCTTGAACTTCTGATCTCATGCACAAGACCGCATTGCCGAACGTCAGCCCAGGAACCATGACCCCTTTCCATATTCCTCTCACAACATCATACCTATTGTAATTCCACAGTGCCCTATTTTTCATGACTGCTGCATTCCTGTTACCTTTAGTCGTCACGTATATTTCGTGTTCCCTCAGATACTCGGTCCCATTGCTTATCCATACGCCCAGATATTTGTATTTATCTGTTATATCTAGCGTGACCTCCTGTATTCTAAGCTCACTACCTTCGTTGTCATTGAAAATCATGACTGTTGATTTTTCCTTACTGAATCTAAAATCTAAGCTATCTCCCTCATTACCGCAGATGTCCATCAATTTTTGCAAATCTTCCTTGTTGTTGGCCATTAGCACTATATCATCTGCGTACATTAATGCTGGTAGTGCCTGATCAATGAGTTGTCCTTGTTTGACTAAAGAGAGGTTGAAGCCCAGTCCGATTCTCTCTAATTTTGCCTCTAATCCTTGTAGGTACATCATGAATAATAAGGGTGACAGGGGGCACCCCTGCCTAAGCCCCCGTTTTACCTCTGCAGGCTTGGATACCTGTTTTTCCCACTTTATAACTACCTTGTTACCTTTATAGATACCCTTTAAAAGATTAGTGACTACATGTTCCACGCCTAGTGTGTCCAGTATTCCCCAAAATTCCTCTTGAACCACGCTATCGCATGCTCTCTTGATATCCAAAAATGCTAGCCACTGGAGCCTGTGTTCCTTTTCTGCTATTTCGATGCACTGCGTCAGTGAGAACAGAATGTCTTCCAACCTCCTGTGTTTCCGAAACCCATTCTGCAGTTCCCCCAGCACCCCCTCATCCTCTATCCACGCCTGCAGTCTTTCCTTTATAATCTGCATCGGCAGCCTGTAGACCACTGATGTCACTGTTATAGGACGGTAGTTGTTTATGTCAGCTTTGTCCCCGTTTCCTTTATAGATCATGCTCATCCTGCTAAGTTTCCATCCATCGGGAACTTCACCATCGATTATTATTGTGCTCACTGCCTCTCTCAAAGCCTGCTTAGACTTCGGACCTAATGTCTTTATCAGCCTAATTGGAATGCCATCTGGGCCTGTTGATGTACTACTAGGAACCCTTTTCTCAGCCCATTCGCACTCTTGTTGTGAAAATGGAGCCATTGCACCACTTGATTCGTCCGTGTCTATTGTGTTGCATAAAGTATTTCTTTGTTGAAATTTTTCTGTCACCCTTGCTCTTATATATTCAATAGCTTCGTCCCCTTCTAGCCTAGCACCTTGGGCTGTAGTTATAAAACTCTGCTCTAGGCTCGTCTCATTTCTTAGGGGCGTTAGATGGTTCCAAAATTTCGCAGCTGCCTTTCTATCTTTTTTATGTACTTCTGCCAGCTACTGAGCTCCCTTCCTTCTAATCTTTTCATTGATCAGAAGGGATGCATCCCTTCTACAGCTTAGAAAGGTCGCCCATTTTCTTTCAACATCATCTGTCGGTTCACCCCGCTGCTTAGCATGTCTGTGTTCCCTAGAGGCTTCCTGACGTTTTGCTATGGCTCTCCTAACTTCCTCATCCCACCAACTTTTGGGTTTGTGTCTTCTTTTTCGGGGTGACTTGTCACGCGTCTTAGCAAGCTCTAGCTCAAAGAGTCTAGTTAGATTCGTGTATGTCCACACTGTCTTATTATCCTCCGTGATTACTTTCTCAGTTTGTTTAGTGGCTATTTCAATTTGCCTTTCTGGATAAAAATTTTCCTGTAGTTGCTCATCTTGTCTTCTTCCCACTTTCACTGCTCTTCCAAAACTTAGCTTGATACGTTTGTGATCGCTACCCAGACTTCTGGAGCCACCTTCATTTATGTTCATTCCCTTGAGCTTATCATACATCCTATGTGACACCAGTGCATAATCTATCGTCGACTGAAGCTTTCTTACCTCCCATGTTATTTGCCCTTCACACTTCTCGGTACTGTTGCAAATGATCAAATCAAGCCTTTCACATATAT